CGTTTCCAGCAGCGGTGGCCTTGACATAAGCACCAACGCCTGCTCGAGAAGGAACTGAAGAAATCCAATTAAGTGCAAACAGGAGTCTGCCCCAGCTGCCCGAGTTTCCATCTCTAATGTAGTGATATGGACAGAAGTCGTCGCCGTTCCACCTGACTCATCGCCATAGCACAAATCCGATCGCCCACCGACACAACGCCTCCAGTCCACGGGTATGTGGTCAGAGTCACACAGGTCAAAAGAATGCAGGTAGACCTAAGAAAGTTGGGCAAGGGGCAAGAGAATGCTGCTCCACGGCGTCCTGCTCTAGCTGTACCAAGAGCCTGGCCGAAGCCATCCAGAACCAGGCGTCCCTTGCGAAAAGCTCCTGAGCATCTTCGGAAAGGAGGGACTGACAGATGCTTGCGGCCACTGTTGTCGAGAGTCGATAATTTTTGCAGCCTGAGCCAGCAATTGGCGTGGCGTCTGTCCGGAGCGAGAAACCTGCACAGCAAAGGCAAAGCATCCACAACGAAATGTCTTCGAGTAGAGTCAACGTCACAACACAAGCCTGCGGCCAAAGCCAAATGAAGCCAAACCAGGCACCCGCAGACCGTCAACTGGTAGCTAATCCTCTGCACATAACCCCCTGTCCTTCGTCACCCGCAGCGCATGTGCCCAATCTCTCCAAGCCTCCATCGGCTAGCTGTTGCAAGATGCATGCTATGCGAGACTGCAAGGGTTCCTGCCCTTACAGCGTGTCCCTGCTCCCGGCTTCTTCCGGCCTCATGAAAGCTTGGATCGTCACACAGAAGCCAGGGTGGCTTCCTCTGCCCTGAAAGCATCATTCTGCACGAGGTTGCTCCCAGACAAGGCCCAGATACCTATATACCCTTTCTGCAAAGTTCACTCGCATGGGTCGTTTGTGGTCGAGATTCCGGCTTGGCAGAAGGCGCACGAAGTCGAAGGACTCATCACTGGCCTTCACTGTTGCCACTGATGCGAGTGAGACATCAATGGGAGACAACCGCCTCTGCTCCGGTCAGCAACGTCAACTTGTGTCTTCGGAGCCACTGTGATGAGGCCTGTTGTGTCCTGTGGTAGCCTGCGTATGAGAACACCTGTGCGGCTTGCAGCCTGCCCTTCCTGCACTGCCAATGCTCCACGCTTCCGTTCGCAGTGCCCGCCTTAGCGAAGATGGCACCAGCAGGCGGGCTCTCGGCCTTGCTTGGTGCATTACCCGCTGAGGGCAGCTCAATCAAAGAGCTTGCAAATGCCGAAACGTTGAAGCTAAAACCTCTTTTCAGCCTGAAATAATCTGAAAGCAAGCACCGCTGTGGCATTTCTACATGACTACTCCCAACATAGGTCTTAAAATAGAGTCTCGAAATCAAATTTAAATCAATCTTCCAAAAGTATAGTTACTATAAAAGTGTTCGGGGAGCCTTTACAAAGGTTCATTCTAAAGTGAAACAAATCAAGTATGCGCACCCTTTCCAAACATGTGACAAATACCCAACCCAAAGTTCTGGAAGCAGAACCTTGAAATTAAACTCCAGATTAGTTTAATTATATTCCATTTTTCATTTTTCGAGAATACATTTGACGAATGGAAGAACTTAACAAGGAGTCTTTTCAGAATCTGATCTTTCAAACTGCTCCCAATTAGGCTCATATCTGATGAAATCTTCCAAAAAGGTATCTTTAAATAAATGTGCTTTTTTCAATCGAGCTTCAGTCGGCAAGTCCTGCAAGGGTCAACTTCGTGGAATTCTCTCAAAGCACGGAAGGAAGAAGAGATCGACTTCATATATTTTGTTCGACATGCGATCGCCGCCTCTAAGCTCAAAAGCTATCGCAGCAAGATGAGCAGCTAGTGCCATGCAGCTCAAGTCACGGTTACCCGGAGCCGAATGGCTCCACACTCCACACCTGTCCGACAGCGCGTCTCGACCTATCCTCCGACAGTATGGCGAGTCCACTTCCAAGGTTCGAATCTGGCGTCTCAATGTCGCTCACAAAGAAAGCAGCATGCAACATCGACTGAGGACGCATGTCATGTTGCCTCAACTGCAGAGATCGCACTCGATATGGCAGAGGGCACATAGGCCGTGCCGCATCGGCACTCGACATCCCAGCGCACGCATCTGTGATTCGACTGGCTTCATGGTCAGCCTCTGCGATTTCAACACATTTAAACACCAGACCACTCAGTACCCTCCGAGCCACTTCAAATATCTTCTGACATTCCGTTAAGCAAGTCCTTCCCCGTGCAACGCACTGCCGCTGGCCGATGGAGAAGGACGCGAGGGCAGACCTAAGGTCCGCCCAAAATCTTCTACTTGGAGGGTTGGGGGGCTTAGTAACTGATTAATTTAGGGACTTATAAGTACCTTAACCCCAATTAATAAGTCTACTTACTACCTACTTACTAAGTCCCCCGACCCTCCAAGTAAGCTTCTGGATCGAAGCGGAGTCTTCGGGTGCTGGCATTGACGGGAGGTGAAGACTCCCTTCGGCTGCCCCTGTTACCGAGCCAAATGCCGTCGCGTCTGAAAACGCCCTCCACGGGCTTCTGTTCAGGGCTTGGTATCATGAGGAACCGGCCACCGCGCTCCGGATCGACGTGAAACTGCCACCTGGAGCAGTCCAGGTCTCGAGCCACGCCGGGCTCTGGCTCGTAGATGGCCGGCGGCGAAGCCTCCGCGCTGGAGGCCATGTCCAGGGCGTCCAAAATCTCCACGGCAATTGTCGCCACATCAGCATGAATTGCACAGCTGCAGCATTGCCCAGACAAGGCAACGACGACCGTGACACAAC